TGTACTCATCATTTAAAGTATTCCTGTGTAGTTATTTCCGAGTTATCAAGAAAATGTCACCAACAGTAACTTTTCGGCCTCTACCGACTGGACTATGTGTATTTTATAGTAAGAAAGAATAAGCAACAATATTTATAGGAGGGATAGCTAGACCCCTAAGCTGCTCATCCATACTTTCAAAGTGGCTTAATTGCATACAGGATGCTAGAAATTTAATGCCGAGTTTAGGTAACTTCAAACATTCATAAGTCGGTTTTTTAAAATGGAACACCCTGTATGTTTTTCTATATTCTGGTACACAATTTTATTGTCTTTCGAACGGTATCAGGGTTCTCTATACCTATCTCTTCTAGTTTTTAAGTTATCTACTATTTTTTGTGTCACCTAAAATCATGTAATTTCTTGCGAGGATAGCTATGGAATTTTTAGCAAAACTTCAAAACAAACAACTAAAGTGTCACCAGTTATTTATTAATATTTATTCACAGACAATGGGACGCTGAGCAGAACATTTACAGTTTTTAAAGAGACATATCCCAATTTTCCACCAATGAGCAGAATAAAGTTAAGAAGAATTCTAAAAAATCAACTTCATACATATAATACACAATTACGTATGTTGATAATAATAATAATGCACTAAGATAAAAAAAAAATGACTTAAAAAAGTCATAAGTGTTCAATTACATTAACAGCTAAGCACTTCTGGATTCTAGAGACAACACCATCAGTCACCGCTTTTGCTATTTCAGCTGCAGGCAATTCATGGAACGCTCTTCGTATTCGAGCAATCAAATCCTCTTTCGAAGCAACGGGTGTAGAATAGACTTTTTGCTTTATTACTCCCCAAACATAAAAATCTAATGGAGTGAGGTCGAGAGACCTCACTGGCCAATTCCACGGTCCTAGGCGTCTCATCCATCTATCTTCAAACATTTCAGTCAGCTGTTGATCGATTTGATTGTGACAGTGAGGTGGAGCCCCGTCTAATTGATACCAACACTTCCTTACTTGGTATAAAGGTCTAGAAAATCTGCCACAACTGTTTGCAAAATATTGAGATATCTGTCGGCATTTAAATTTTCTTCGTAGATACGGTAAGAAATTTGGTTACCTTCAATTAGACAAAAAACATTAAATTAGGCTAGCACATTTATTACATTATCTTAATTTGAAGTTATTAGTTTGGTAAAATTCTTTCTGCACAAATTCGACACTACTCTAGTTGATTTGCTAAAATTCTCCTTAACTTTTTTCTGCTCATTGGTGGCAAATTTGGATATTTCTCATTAAAAACTGTATCTTCTGCTTATAATCCCATTGCAACGTCCGTGAATGAATAATAAATTTAAAATATCTGTATTTGGATATGTATTGTTTTCCATTTCTTATAAACACTAAATTAAACTGTCACTGCAAGGACTAACTACAAATTGACAGATTAGTTGTTCGTTTTGAAGTTATGTTAAAAATTCTACAGCTATCGCAAGAAATTACATGATTTTAGTAAGTAGATAACTTAAAAACTAGAAGGGATAGGTATAGGGAACCCTGATACCCTTCGAAAGAGAATAAAATTGTGTATCAGAATAAACAAAAAAATACAGGGTGTTTCATTTAAGAAAAAACGACTTATGAAGATTTGAAATTAAGTAAACTCGGCATTAAATTTCTAGCACCCTGTATGCAATTAAGCCACTTTTAAAGTATGGATGGGAAGCTTACCCCCTATAAATATTGTTGTTTTATCTTTCTTACTATAAAATACACATGGTTTGAAGCTAGTCACTGTTTCTCTCCATTTTTTTGAAAAAAATTTAAATATCTCGAAAACGGTTAGTTTTAGGAACAGTGAAACTTTATAAAAGTCCACCTAAAACAACACGTAGAATCCAAAATTGCAATAATGATGATGGCGACTTCCGGTATAACCGGAAGTGGACGCCATTATTTTAGTTGAGAAGGGCATGCCCGAAAACCCAGTATCCCAAATTTTCAAAATTCAAATCGAAGTAGTCTGAAATAATTCTAATGGGCCGTCGGCGTCGCCGTGAGACACCCTGTAGTAAGTATTCATAAAATAGTAGCAATAAAATTTTAAACATTTTATTTGGTTATAATATTAACCATCGTCTATTATCCGAAGAATGGAGAATATGGAAAGATTATACGAACTACAAGTAACTCAAAGAAGAGAGATTATTACCAATTATTGCCGAAATAAACCAATTTTGAGAAATATTAAATTATTACATTAATATTAAATAACATAAAACTATTATTTAATATTCCATAAACATAATGTCATCTAAACACATGTCAGAACTTCCGTAGATTGTTCCTTGGGTTATTTTAGATCAACAAGTCTTAATGTGGCAATGGTATAAAGCAACCAATTTTCGACATATTATATACCTACAGTGTTGAAGTTTAGAAATATATCACATTATTCAAATATCTTCAAACACATTTGACTTAGATTCATGGAACTTAGAAATATTTTTATTTTTCATTTCATTTAACAAAAATCATTTTCGTTAATGGATTCTACTTTTGTTCAAATGCAGAAAAATGTTGTTTAAAGTGGGCCAAAGAAGAAATGACTAGAAAAGTAGCAGCTCATTTTATCCTTAAATATATACAAAACTAATCCTTTTCCAACATTTAATATGTACTGAGTATCCACGTATCGTTTTCGCCGTAATGAGCAAAAAAAATTGTTGAAATTTTGAGAAACGAACGAATAATTTAGTAATCCTTAGTAATCAACAGTATTCATGAGATATATCTCACAAGGCACATGTCATAAGTCCTATATTAAAAAAAAAGGAAAGAGGCATTTTATCTAAACAGAATATAATTTTGCAGAAGTAAAAATATATTACAGACTATATTTTAACCAAGCAGAATCGTTCCCTAAATTGTTAAGTTTCCGCCTACTTTTTTCCTGTACTTACCTACAAGTAACCAGTGGCGTCGGAATTAGAAGGGTCTGAGGGATTTCAATTATCAAACAGTATTTGTTTAACATCAGATTTTTCTTTTACAGATTTGGATAGACCATTTCCAAATAAAATGTTGCTGTGTCTTTATTCATTTATTTTCTTTTTTGTATAATGCTAAATTCACTCTTTGAAGTTCTCCTTGGTAGGCCAAAATTAACAGGCGATTTACCGAAAATAGCTCATAGGCGCGCAGTAAGCGAAGGAAATGGGCTAAATATTTATAAAAAAATATAACTCAAGGAAAATTTTCTGAATTTTGAAAATAACTCATAGACTGAACGGAAAATTAATTACAAAACAGTGATATTGTGTATCAACAGCATTGACAGAACACAGTTATAAAAGTTTGCAATAAATGCTTAATCAGAAAGAATATGCAAGTGGAAGTGGATCTTATTTGTGGAAGGGCGAAACGGGCGGTGACTATGAGACGCCTTTATTAGAGCCATCCTTCTCTATCGCACGGATTTCTATGACTTACTTTATCGCTCTCACGTAACGGCCGATGTACCATGGGGACTTTCCGAACCTGTATCTGGACGGCCTACATTCAAATTCGCGCAGTAGTAGTAGAAGAGAGAAATAAAACTAATCCTAGGACCACATTGATCTGCATTGCTTCCAAAGGGTGAATTATGTATGACATCATATTAAAAATAAATTCTATAGAACGATAAATACGGATTCTAAAAAAATACATTATAAATGAAAAAAATTAGGGATCAACTTCAAATTCGCACGGTATGTGTAAAATAGAGGAATAAAGTCTTTCCTAGAAGGATACTGACTTGCAAGGTTTCCAAGGGCTGAATGATGACATTACATTAAACAAAAATTCTAGAAAAAAATAATTTTAAATGAAGAAAAGAGGCATCAACTTCAAATTCGCACGCTATGTGTAAAATAGAAGTATGCAGTATCTCCTAGAAGCACATTGACTTGCAAGGTTTCCAAGGGGTGAATTATGACATTAAACTTAAACATTAAAAAAATCTAAAAAAATAAATTATGAATGAAGAAAATGAGGCATCAACTTCAAGTTCGCACAGTATATATAAAGTCCCTCCTAGAAGGACATTAACATGCAAGATTTACAAGTGGTGGATTATGAAATTACATAAAAAATAAATCTATAAAAGTAAAATATAAATGATTAAAATGAGGGAGTGATACACAATATTATTGTTTTATAATTACTTTTCCGTTCTGAGTATGAATTATTTTCAAAATTCAGAAAATTTTCCTTGAGTTTTTTTATAAATATTTATCCTCTTTCTTTCGTATACTGTCCGCCTATGGGCGTCCGGCTATTTTCGGTAAATCGACTGCTAACTTTGGCCTAGGAAGTTCCACCTCTTCTAAGTTCAAAAGCAATTTAGTGAATTTTCAACGTATTAAATTATAGGATCCGCTGCTGACGAACGTCTAGCATTGTCATAATGTTTGGATTTTTACACGAAAATCGTACATTGTACATTTTACGAAAAAAAAAATCAAGGGGTACAAGACTTTTGAATGGAAATTGTCTATCTAAATCTGTAAAACATATTCTCTTTAACTTTAAATTATTTTTTTTGAAACACCTTCTAATTGCTACAGCACTGATTATTTTATATTTAAATTTTACACAAATGTAACCATTATAAAGGAGGTACTGCAGTACACAAAATTTACGACCTACATCTTCGGTTCTCGAGTCAAAAACAGTTTCACGACTGATTTAAAAAAAAACGGTCGCTATTTGTTTATGTTTGTTCGGGTGAAAAGAATCAGCTCTAAAAATTTGTCTCAACGTCGCTTACATCCTGTATAGATGTTCTTTCCTAAACAGTTTTCTTTTCTTATAATCTGACATTAATTACACAACAAAAATTCCTAATGCAACATAAATCTCACATATTAATCTCCACTTACAGCTATTCATCTAAACTTAATCTGACTTGATCGCCGCCCACCGAAGGAAACAATCAATCATAAAAAATAAATATTTATTACCTATAAGCGTCCTTTGGCCATTTATTATAGGCATGCAAAGAATCGTTCTCGCCGATTCAGCGTCCCCCTCGCTGTGTTTTTCCTTCAGCCAGGCTCTCACGTCGCCGATATTGAGGATTTGACCGGTTGATGCAGCGTAGCCCGCTATTTGGGCCATTGTCGAGCTAGCTAGGTCAAAGGACGAGGGTCTGGAAGAAACGAAAATAGAAAATTTAGATCTATTTCATTCGGATCGGTTTCAATATCCGCAAATTGAAGTCGTATATAACACCGACCTTCCGTCAGAATTGGCTATATTTAAGCGAGGATATGTATTTTTAGAAGTAGGCTAGCATAAAAAATAGACATAATACATAATGTGTAACATAAATGGGAAATTTTGGTTTAGATAATTATTGTATGGTATGGCTCATATATAATAATGTCGGAAAATTCATTTCTGCTCCTAAATAATATGAGGTCTGTTCAGAAAATAAGCGGACTTTTTCAATTACGCGCTAATGGAGGTATTTAGTGATACGCGGTTGGCAGTATTACGTTAGGCATAACCTCCTCTGTAACCGCAAGTTCTTGGATTGTTGATATCTCATTTAGATTTTGTGATATTGTTATTTGAATACGACGTGTTTAAGTATTATTGACGATTTCTGAAATGCGATTTTCTGGAACAACGATAGAAATTAAAATTTTAGGTGAAACTGAGAAAAACTCACGGCAACGTTTTAACTCTGGAAACAAGCTTATGGAGGTGGTGCTCTGGGTTAAATGGTTTTCAAGATTTAAAAGTCGTCGTCAGTCAATTGATGATCCTCGACCAGGAAGGCCTTCGACTTCAACTGATGACTACCACATTCAGAAAGTCCAAGATCTGATGCGGGCAAATCGTCGATTGTCAAAGAAGTTGCAGAACAGATTTACATCTCACTTGGGTCATACGTTGAAATTTTGACTAAAAAATTAAACACGCATCGAGTTGCAGCAAAATTTCTTCCTCCTTTGATGACCCAACAACAGAAAGAACATCGTATGAACGTTTGTCGGCAACTCTTTAAACAATCCAATGACATTGAGACAAAAGTTCAATTATCACAACGAATTGGCAAAGAATCTCCACGCCCTAAGAGAGCACGTCAGACGTCAGTCTCGATCCGCTATCAAAGTGATGCTAACTGTTTTTTCGACTTTAATGGAATTATGCATTTTGAATTCTTGCTTCAAGGTGAAACAGTGAACCGTGTGTACTATCAAGACGTTTACCTGCAAAAAAAACCGTAAGAAGAGACCAGAATTGTAGCGAGACAACTCCCTCACTCTCCTTACTTGCCAGACCTGACTCCTTGCGACATTTTCTTGTTTCCCAAATTAAAATCAGTGCTGAAAGGGCGCCGTTTTCAAACTGTTTATGAAATGAAAGCAAATTCGTCACAGAATTTAAAGGCCATTTCAAATGAAGCTATCCAGGACAGCTTCGCAAAATGGAATCACCGCTGGGAAAAGTGTGTAAGGAAGAGAGTACTTTGAAGAAGAGAAGAACTAATAATATAAAAAATAAAGTTTAAAAAATTGATGTTGTTATTTTCTGAACAAATCTCGTACGGACATTTAAAATGATTAATTCTCTAAGGAGAAAGAACTATAGGAGTAAAAATAAGATCCCACTGGGAAAAGCTCAAACTTGACGGAAATATTCCTCAGTTAAAAATAAATAAAAAAGTTTATACAAACTATGGCCAGGAAACCAACTGTTTTTGAGTCATGGCACATAAAAAAGGTCAAATTTTTAAATACTTCAGGTACGCATAATAACTTTATACAATTATACAGGGTGTTTTAGACCTATGAACTATATATCTATCTTCTGTTGTTTTCGAGATACAGAGCGACAAAATAAAATTTTCTAAATAGAATTTTTACGAAAATTTCCAAACTGTGTAGAAATATTTTTATGAAATTTGGTAGGTATTCCGGGGTTTTTAAGGATGTAAGTACGCTGGTCTAATTATGTTATGGATATTTCATAGAGGGCGCTAGTTATGCTACATGTCTATTACAATTTAAGTTCCAATTTTTTTTTTTAGGATAGGTTTTTTACCATTCGGAGACCAATTTTTAATGTACAATTTTATTTTCTAAAAATAATATACTCCTGCTAGAACTTCCTAATGTGGACGGTTTTCGAGAAAAAAGTCTTTTAATTGAACTCTTACAATATTACGGTGTATAAAATAAGTAACTTTTCTCAAAGTAGGCTTATGTCAAAACTTATTAATGGATGTCTCACAAACAACGCATACATTCTTAGTAATATTTTAAACTCTAATTAACTTTATATCAAAAATTTTAGTGATATGACTGTAATTAGTCATTACTAACTACAGTTACTAACAATCACTAAAATTTTGATGTAAGGTTAATAGAGTTTAAAATATCACTAAGAATGTATGCGTTGTTTGTGAGACATCCATCAAAAAGTTTTGACATAAGCCTACTTTGAGTACTTTGAGAATAGTCACTTATTTTATATACCGTAATATTGTAAGAGTTCAATTAAAAGCCTTTTTTCTCGAAAAGCGTCCACATTAGGAAGTTCTAACAAGAGTACATTATTTTTAAAAAATAAAATTGTACATCAGAAATTGGAGCCCGAATGGTAAAAAACCTAACCTTAAAAAAATTAGGATTTAAAATGTAATACGACTGTAGCATAACTAACGCCATCTATGAAATATCCAAAATATAATTATACCAGCGTATTTGGCATTCTTAAAAACCCCGGAATACCAAATTTCATAAAAATATTTCGCACCGTTCGGAAATTTTCGTAAAAAAATGTATTTTGTCAGTCTGTATTTCGAAAACAAAAGATGATGGACGTATAGTTCATAAGATAAAATATTCTCATTTTTTGTCGTACCATCACCCGCTGTGTTTACGGGAGGCCTTTCTGAAACACCCTGTATATGTAGGGTAATAGCTACAGTTAAGTCTTACAAAACTATTTCATAAAGTGAAGTTTCAACGTTTACGACTTTTGAAATTGTTCTAGTAAAAGTTTCTTATTTTCTTAGAATTTCTAGTTAGTTACATTAATAATAATTGAACATTCTGTTAGCCATACAGCAGGAAATACAAAACTATTTTAATTAATAGTTAATAGACATATTATAAAGAAACTAAATCTAAATTAGCTTGATAAAGTAATAACAAATAGATTACATAAAAAATATGTAAGCATAGTTTAACATTATTGTTGCACGAATAAGCTAAAGAGAATGCACAATCATACGCACGAACGCTCACACACACTCATGCATGCACGCTCGCATACACACACATATATGCATATACACACACATACCCGTGCACATACAACAGTTACCTCCCAAAGTATCATATCTCTCTAAGGAGTTAAAAATACATAGTTTATGTGAACAAAGGAAAGTGGAATTATGTACATCCTGTAAACATCTCATACTTATAGGTAGATTACATATTTTACTAAAATCTAATTAGACCCCTTTATAGCTTATGTACTTCAGAATAATCGATAAGATTTGCGAACACAACCAGGATCCAATTAGATTCGCTCGGAATGAAATATTACATTACCTACACCTACCTAGAAACCAGCGTCTGTGTTCCCCCTTCTCTGAGTTCAAATACAGTCGTAAATAAACTGGGTTTCCTTAAACCATTCTCCCTCATATCTTCCGCAGTCACAGTTCGACTTTCCACCCTATTCAAAGGTGCATGACGTTGAACTATTCTGCCGGGTCGTTCCACTATGCGTTCCAAATGATTCTGTAAACAATAGTAATCGCCACATTAACGAGAATAAGGCAAAACTAACACTGTTAAAACTTTTGAATAAGATGGTACTTTGAAATGAACTCACTGTTTTAGTTTGGTATATCAAAATAAATTATCCTAAGTACATCAACACAATTGAAGTTTCTTGTTGAAGTTAGTATACAATTTGGTTATTTTATTTGTCAAAAAGTAAACGAAATTCTTTTGGAAAATGGGACATGTTTTGTTATAAATGAAAAAGAAACAGATGCGAAGACAACACTAAGTAAAATCATATAGTCAATATTCGAAATATTCAAACTTCCAAGATAAAACGCAGTTTTTGACCAAACTTCAACTGTACCAATATACAGGGTATTTTTTAAGGTGAAGTTTCCTTTTTAATGCGAATCAGTAAAAAGGAAAAATACATTTTTCAAATTACATTCTTCGAACATTAAAAAATAACGAATATAAAAAACTAGCCTTTTAATTTAAATAAGTCCGAACGAGCCGAAAGATTACGATTAGAAGTTATCACCATTATTTTAATTCACACAAGCTGTCGCATGGCGTATTTGGGCATGCTGTTAAAAGTGAGCATTTTCTCACTCATGTGTTCACTTTATTCTTATACACCATAACGCCACAGGTAAAAATTGCATGATTACAATCTGGCGGCCTTGGAAGCCATGATATTGGTTTATTGTTCCTTATGCAGTAAGATGCATTACTTAGGTAATTCAGCTCTCATGTCTAAAATGAGGTAGAATACCGCCATGTAAAAACCACATGGATTGTCTTAAAAACACATCCTCAAGTAGTTCAATTCAGTTAAAAGAATATAGATAGTTCTAAGTCAGTCATTCCGGCTGGTAGTATAAAAGGATCAGTAAATTAAGCATACCATTAACAATACTAGTTGAAATATTTATAGAAATTTTTTGTTTTTGGAGCAGTAATGTTTCACTACACGTGATATCCATAAAGTTGATTTTCTCTTACAGTAGTGCACACTGGTACACCTCGACTTGACGGGCAATATGTCTGGTAATAGGTGAGATACAACCTACAACTCATATATCGTATCTTAAATGTCACAACTGCAACGAAGCATTGCTTAGTATCTGCTGGCAGAAAGTAGCCTACTAATCTGTAAGTACTGCGAAAGTATTACACTTCCAATATGTAGTAAATAACTAAGGTCATGTGATGAGAACTAATAAGTTCAAAACTGGTCTATATCCGGTTATTCTGCTAAATGATGATCTTAGCTATTTACTAGATATTGGAGATATTATTCAATGCTGGATGGGACATATAGCCCAAAGAGTAGTTGTTTCCCACAATACAATTAATTAAATAAAGTTTAATTTGCCTAGTGCAACACTAGTCATGCTTTAATAATAGATATAAAGCAATGCCGTGTATTACTATCAGTTAAATAGCAATGACATTTATGATATGACATACTTTGTCTCAAAACATAGTGATACGCGTCCATTCAAATAGTTCTAATTACTCATATCTCAAACTACTCTGGAAAAGGAATAGTAAATATACAATTAATTTTACATGTTAGGCCAATCAATAGAGGTTTTCTTTGTGACAAAAATTCTAGTAGCAAACGGACTGTTCCATCATCTAAAAGACAGTCTGTAGATATATGCTTATACGTTTCCTACTCTAATTTACCATTAATTAATTTTTTATAAACATTTCTATGCAAAAAAAACGCATTTAGTTTAGTTTTTTGCTTATAAAACCTAAACTAACCAAGCAATCTGAATGCTACACAGAGACAATTTGTAGTGAATCGAAATACGGATAAAACGAGATGTCGACCGATCCAATCGGATAATTGGAAACGAAGAAAACCCGGCAAAATCGGAAAATTTAAATTCTTTAAATTTATTACTTCACCATTTTTTAAGTTGTAAAGCTGACCCTGTGCACAACAGTAGTGAATTATATTTTTGTGTGCATAAAACAGACGCCGTCGGACCATTAGTTTTGGCACGATTGCAACTTGAATTTTTTGATGCACTATTTCGCGATGTTTCTGAATGAATTGGAGTTGGTTTGATTTTAATTTTTCAGTCGGATTTTAAAATTAAAAGTATAAAACTACAAAACGTATATTCTAGTTTTCCGATAAAATAAAAAGTGTACAATTTTGAACATTATTAGTTGTAGTATAGTTTGATATTAATGTATGTGGTGATATACAGGATGTCCCAGAGCTTGACAGGCATTATCTCGGAAACTAGTCTATATATTGTTATGAGTAGTATACATGTCTGGATTGTTTATATAATTAATATACTATGATTTTGCTGTGTATATGTGTATGCTGCTGTGTTGGTATGCTTTGGTTTAATTATTGTCAATTCTACCCTGGCTAGCTTTAGACTCCTCCCAGTAGTGAGTTCTAATCTTTGTAGAAACCCAAACAATACACCACACTAAACTAAAGATATTATTCAAAAATTTAATTAATTTATTAATAATTTTTTTTGTCAACAATAAATTATAATCATGAAATGTTCAGGAACAATTTCGGAATATTTGGAATTATCTTATTATGATAGCAATTTTGTAACACCTTGGGAACTTTTCATAAAGTGGTATTGAAATTGACTCGTTATTGTACTGTTGGTTGCATATACTTAAGGCGATAAAGCTGATCTTAAAATTTCTTTCCCAATGTGTTACTTTACCTACTTTTATACTTAAATATCTATCTAAATTTTTAATATGGCCACTTTTTATTATTATTAGTATAGTGAAGTTAAAGTTATCTACTATTTATTAGGAATGAAGAATTTGTATTAATTTCAAACTTATTTTCAGGTAAGACTACTTTAAATTTTATTATTATACCTATAGGTTTTTTATGACTTTTGAGATTGTATTTATTATTCTTATTTTCTAGCTAGCTTTATCTTATAAGATTTCGTAATTCTTTGTGCACAAAGTTACCTCTATGTATATCTTGTCGATTTTTATTTTCGAACTGCTTGCCCTCTTATACTAGGTCTGGATATCGTTCTGGAATCCTCGTTTTCCTGAATTGACTGGATAGCTGGAACCTGCTGCTCACTTTGATGCGTCTGGAATGTCGTCTTTGGTACGTCTGGAATATCGTCCTGGAATCCTCGTTTTTCTTGAATTTGTAAGATCTCTGGAACTATTGCTTACTATTGCATATCCGGAATATCGTCCTGGTCTGTCCTGAATATCGTCTTGAAGTCCTTTGAAGAGACTGGACTTTTAAATCCTTTTGGCCCTACTTTAATTTTTCTTTGCACTGGGATACTAACTTTGATTGTCTTACTATATTTCACTGTAATTATTACTATTTATATGGGTTTTTCCCACTTTATTTATTTTCATTTACTTCTCTCTGACAAATTTTTCCTAACTAGTTAATAATTCTTCTTTTTTTATCCTACTCTCTTGATTTTTTCCCCATTTGTTAAGGTCTATTCATATATATGCCTGTTCTTTTAAATTCCGTTTTCTTTTTCCACTTCACTTCACTTTATAATTTACAATTTTACAATCGTATTCCAGTTTATTTACAAAAATGTTTACTTATATTTTAAAGTATTTCTTATTCTATATTTTTATTTGAATTTCATGTCATATTTTCTGATTTGTGAATCCAACTATATTTCTGACAGTTCACTGACATTATAATCCTATTGATATATAAAATTTTACTTTGGACATTAATATTTCCTTACTTCCCTCTTACTTCCCCTCTTACTTACTCATAATACTACTATTAAATAAAACTATGATATTTTAGCTTTCTTTTGCTATATGTCCCTTGCTGTTACTAATTAATTTTGATTATGTTTTTCCGATAATATCTTGACATGTACTCTATTTGACTAAAATGATAATGTTTTCTATACTTAAATCTTTGAAATTTATATTCTGCTCTAGTAATACGCTTCGATAATAATTCACAATATTTATATTTATTTATAATTTATTTAATACTAACAATTTTTTTTACTCAAATATTTTTCTAAGTTTTACAATAATTATTTCAACCTTCTCTCTTCACATTGTCTTAGTCAAGTAAAGTTTTAATTTAAATTTCTAAATTTCTATCAATACTTTTATTTCATCTCAATATATTTCTATATAACATTTCTTTCTATCTCGACTAGTTTCCGAAATAATGCCTGTCAAGATAGCTCTGGGATACTCTGTATACAAAATGTAATAAAATTTCCTTAACAAGGACACCTAAATATGTATTATTTGTAACAGATTGAACATTTTGTAAGAAAACTTTCAAATTCACGTTTGATGTCGATTTCCCGTAAATGTCAAAAAATGCAGGAACAAGACGAGGAATGTCCACAGCTTCCACATTACTGTGATTCCGTGTATTGGTATTATTTATTATGTGTTACCACTTACAATAATATTAAACTATAACTACCAAAGTTCAAAATTGTGTACCTACCTATACGGGTGATCCATTAATGGTATCGAGCGGCTGTGTATAGAAAACTAGACATGCTACGATTATGGGGTAAAAAATCCCTTAACAAATACGACCAAAAGAAATTGGTTTAAAATATTTTCAAGTTTGTAACTTTACCGCTAGGGGGCGCAACTGCTATAGTGTTACAGAAAATTGTCAGTTTTTCGAAATATCGCTTATATAACCTAAGTTGCATATACATTTTTTAGATACACTGTTCAACTCATCACAAGTTTTGTTTGAACTTTTTTTTTATTGCCATAGCAACGTCAGTATGAAGGACGCTACCTTGAAATTTGTAAATTGTCTTCTAAATGCCTTAATCGATTTCAATAAACGATGGCTCATTTTGAAGAACTATTAATAAAATTTAATTTTATGATGTAGGAATAAAAATATTATTTTTCTACAAACGTCAAAAAATGACAAGGTTTGCGCATTGACAACAATATGCGAAGTGACACTTTTTTTCGGATTCTTACGTTACCATGACACCGTGCGCGAA